TCTGTCTGTCTGTCTGACTGTCTGTTTGACTGACTGTCTGTCTGACTGACTGTCTGTCAGTCTGTCTGTCTGTCTGTCTGTCTGACTGTCTGTTTGACTGACTGTCTGTCTGACTGACTGTCTGTCTGTCTGTCTGTCTGTCTGTCTGACTGTCTGTTTGACTGTCTGTTTGACTGACTGTCTGTCAGTCTGTCTGTCTGTCTGTCTGACTGTCTGTCTGTCTGTCTGTCTGTCTGTCTGTCTGTCTGTCTGTCTGTCTGTCTGTCTGTCTGACTGTCTGTCTGTCTGACTGTCTGTCAGTCTGTCTGACTGTCTGTCTGACTGTCTGACTGACTGTCAATCTGACTGACTGATGGTCTGTGTGACTGACGGTCTGTCTGACTGTCTGTCTGTCTGACTGTCGATCTTTCTGTCTGTCTGTCTGGCTGACTGTCAATCTGACTGACTGATGGTCTGACTGACTGACGGTCTGTCTGACTGACGGTCTGACTGACTGACGGTCTGACTGACTGACGGTCTGACTGACTGACGGTCTGTGTGACTGACGGTCTGTCTGACTGTCTTTCTAGCCACTATCCTTCATGTTTTAGATGTTTCTGTGCTTTGAAACACCTGGTTTGAATGAACGATCAACAGGGTTCTACTAAACTTGGAAGACCCACTAAAGAGTCTCCTGACTACAGACTCTGGACCGGAATAATCCCCAATTCCTGACACTTGACCTTAGTAYTGAATGATTCTGAACCTCATTGATCTCTGACCCTGGACCCTAGATGTTTACAGTCCCGGTCTCCTGACTCATATCTGTCCTTTTGTCCTCAGACGTCTTGCGTGGAGAAGACCGGGACAGATGAGAAGATGCTSATCAAGGTGTTTCGGTGTCTAGGCAGCTGGTTTAATCTGGGAGTCCTGGACAGTAATTTCATGGCCAGTAACCAGCTGCTGATGGTCCTCTTCCAAATCCTGGTGGGTTTTAGTCTGAGGAAAGATCCGTAGAGTACTGAGGGTTGTTAGCTGGTTTGATTTATTTATTTATGGAAGACCAATTATCTGCTGCTGATGGAATGGAATTATTAGCATTTCTRTCAAATTGTTATTATTTGTCTGTTTTTACAGCAGAGGGATGAAACCTCGACTAATTTACACGAAGCAGCATCGGACTGTGTCTGCTCAGCTCTCTATGCCATAGAGAATGTGGACACCAACATACCTTTGGCTCTGCAGCTCTTCCAGGGTGTCCTGACGCTGGAGACGGCCTATCACATGGCTGTGGCTCGGGAAGACCTGGACAAGTATGATCTRAGACGCAGTCTTTGATTGGATGGGTTCTGGTCATTGTCACAGTTTGATTTCTGTCCTCAGGGTGCTGAACTACTGCAGGATCTTCACCGAGCTTTGTGAGACATTTCTAGAAACCACAGTCAGGAGTCCGGGGCAGGGTATGGGAGACCTGAGGACACTAGAATTGCTGCTGATCTGTGCAGGACATCCACAGTATGAGGTACCAGAAGAACCAGCATCTCCAGAAGCCAAGTTTTATTTAGAGAATATTAGAAATGATAAAGTTTGTTACTTCTTTAGACTGCACTACCTGAACCAAGCTTAGTATTTCCGCAACACTTTGGGCTGATCAGTTTTCTGTTCATGCTGGTTGGGTTTCTGTTCTGTTTACAGGTTTCCTATATTTTGGTTCTGATTCTAGTGTCTGTGTTCCAGGTTGTGGAGATTTCTTTTAACTTTTGGTACCGTCTGGGAGAACATCTGTATAAAATAAATGATGCAAACCTTCATAGCATCTTCAGACCGTACATACAGAGACTGCTCCACTGTTTGGCCCGACACTGTCAGCTTGATACGGACCATGTAAGGAACCAAAACCAGCTCTAAATGGTACTCTTAGATTTTGGTTTGACTGTAYTTTTACCCGACAGGAAGGAATCCCGGAGGAAACAGATGATTTTGGGGAGTTTAGAATGAGAGTGTCCGATCTGGTTAAAGACGTTATTTTTCTTGTTGGATCCATGGAGTGTTTCTCTCAGGTGCTGTTAATTTATCATGAAGATGATCTATGTTCATTGTTATTTAATATATAAAAGAACATGTCTCATTGTGTATCCCTTAGTTGTATTCCACTTTAAAGGATGGCAACCCCCCCTGGGAGGTGACTGAAGCTGTTCTGTTTATCATGGCTGCCATCGCTAAAAGTGTAGACCCGTGAGTGTCAGTGAACCGTTCAGATGTACAGATGTCCGGAGCTGCTGCTGATCTGTCCTGTTGTTTTTCAGAGAGAACAACCCGACTGTGGCAGAGGTTCTGCAGCAGGTGGTGTTACTTCCTGAAAGTGTCCATATGGCAGTTCGGTACACAAGCATCGAGTTGGTTGGAGAGATGAGCGATGTCGTGGACAGAAACCCGAGATTTCTGGGTAAGATGATGGGAAAAAAAACAAGAAACAATGGTGGTGATTCAAAGGTCCAATAGTCCAGTTCAGTAAAACTTTGAGACGTCAGGACTAAACGTTTGCTTCAAGGTCTGACACTGTATCATCTTTAATTATTGTTTCCATATCCTCTTCCTTCAGTCCTGTTTTCACAGAAACATTAGTGATTTAGCCAGACTTTTGATTGACAGTTCTTTGAGCCAGTAGGGTTAGGGTGAGTGTAAACTGGAGAGTCCTGGCCTAATGGTGTTGCTCTTCTGTGTTGGTCCATTCTTTTGAACGGTGGCTGCTTTGTTTCTCTGGTGTATAACTGTTTAGAAAATAAAAATCTCAGTTTCTCTGAAACTCCTGCAGCATACAGAATGACCACTGGTCTGGGCTCTTCCTTTTCACCTGGTGGTTGACTGGAGTCCTGTTTGGGTTTCTTGTCTTCTTTCAGGAAGGCCCATTTAGGATAACCACATTACTCCAGGGCCTGTCTTGTGTGTGATTTCTCCTTCTCCTTGGCTCCTGGGTTTATGTATTTGGACACTGACACAATTATTTATTTACCTGTTTACTGAAATATGTTCAAGTTATAGTAATCCACTGCCTGGCCAAAAACCAAGTGTCCACCTGGATGTAGGTAACTCAGGTTTATGATGTGGGTCTCTGCAGGTGGTCAGGTCTAGGTTCAGCTCAAAGAATGAGGTCAGCTGAGCACCTGAATATACTGAAATCAGAATCAGGTTTATTGGCCAAGTATGTTGATACACACAAGGAATTTGTTTCCGGCTGTTCGTGACTCAATGGTATCAATGACCAGGTTATTCCATCAATTGATTGTTTCTTCCCTGATGGCACGGCCATATTCCTAGATGACAATGCCAGGATTCATGGGTTTTTTATTGTGAAAGAGTCGTTCAGGAAGCATGAGACATCATTTCTACACATGGATTGGCTCCACAGAGTCCACTGAGGATCTTTGGGATGTGCTGGAGAAGGTCAGACTCTACCCTCATCAATGAAAGATCWTGGTGAAACATTACTGCAACACTGGATGCAATAAATGTGGTGACATGAAGAAGCTTATCAAACAATGTCACAGAGAATGTGTGCTGAAATCAAAGCTAAAGGTCCAACAGAATATTAGTGTGTGGCCTTTTTTTTGGCTAGGACATAGTATAATGGACATAAAATCCAGACTTGCAAGACTTCATCTGAGAGTCTCCACATTAAAACTAGATGAAGGTTTAATGAGTTCAACATGTGCCCACCCTGCTTTTAAAGGGACCAGAAGTAATTGGTCAATTGACTCAAAACACTATTTTGTGAGCAGTTGTGGGCAATTTCTTCTTTGTCATTCTCGATGAAGAAGATGAAAGGCCTGAGGTATGGTGCTTGCATTTGGAAGAATTAGCTGTGAAGAAAACATTCGATCGAAGGAGCTCTCCATGCAGGTGAAGCAAACCATCCTTAAGCTGCATAAACAGAAGGAAACATCTGAGAAATTGSTACAATATCAGGAGTGGCTAAATCTACAGTTTGGTTCATCCTGAAAAGCACTGGTAAACTCACCAATGCTAAAAGACCGGACCCCTATGGAAGACMACAGTGGTGGATGATGGCAGAATAATCTCCATGGTGAACAGAAAGCCCTTCATAACAGCCAACCAAGTGAACAACCCTCTGCAGGAGGCAGAAGTATCAACATCCAAATCTACCATAAAGACAAGACTGCATGAACGTAAATMCAGAGGCTTCACTGCACGCTGCAAGACACTCAGAAGACTCAAGAATAAAAAGGCTGGACTGGACTTTGATAAAAACCTGTAAAAAAGCAGCAGATTTCTGGAAGAACATTCTTTGGACAGATGAAACCAGATCAAGCTGTAGCAGAATGATGGAAAGAACAACCCAGGAGTTTAATAAAGCAAAGAAGTGGAATATTCTTTCACCTGATCTCAACCCAGCTGAGCATTTCACTTGTTAAAGACTGAACTTCAGACAGAAAGGCCCACAAACAAACAGCTGAGTAAAGGCCTGGCAGAGCATTAAAAAGGAGGAAAAACAGAGTCTGGTGACGTCCACGAGTTCAAGACTTCAGCCATTTATTGACAGCAAAGGCCTTTTATTTTAACCAAGTATTAGAAATAAACATTTTATTTAGTTATTTCATTTGTCCAGTTACTTTTGAGCCCCTGAAATGAAGGAATTGTGTTTAAAAAATGCTTTAGTTCCTCACATTTCTATGCAATCATTTTATTCAACCCATTGAATTAAAGCTGAAAGTCTGAACTTTACCTGCATCTGAAATGTTCTGTTCAAAATGGATTGTAGTAATGTACAGAACCAAAATTAGGAAGAAGTTGTCTCTGCCCAAGTAGAAATGGACCTAAATATTTATACACGTACACTGATGCTGACTTGTTAAAACTGGACTATGTCAGGTTTGTGCAGCTGTATAAGTTGTGAGTTTTATCTGGAAAGCATCCAGAGACTTGTCTGAAGTAAAACTTTATGTTGTTTTGGCACCAGACCCAGTCCTGAACTACCTGATGAAAGGTCTGAGAGAGAAACCTCTGGCCTCTGCAGCGGCGAAGGCCATCCACAACATCTGCTCCGTGTGCAGAGATCACATGGCCCAACACTTCCAGGGCCTGCTGGACATCGCTCGCTCCCTCGACTCCTTCGCTCTGTCCACGGAGGCCGCAGTCGGACTGCTGAAAGGTACCTGTTGAATACCTGAGGTTTACCTGTTACCTGAGGTTTACCTGTTACCTGAGGTTTACCTGTTGAATACATGAGGTTTACCTGTTACCTGAGGTTTACCTGTTACCTGAGGTTTACCTGTTGAATACCTGATGTTTACCTGTTGAATACCTGATGTTTACCTGTTGAATACCTGATGTTTACCTGTTGAATACCTGAGGTTTACCTGTTGAATACCTGTGGTTTACCTGTTATACACCTGTGGTTTACCTGTCGTACACCTGTGGTTTACCTGTCGTACACCTGTGGTTTACCTGTTATACACCTGTGGTTTACCTGTTATACACCTGTGGTTTACCTGTCGTACACCTGTGGTTTACCTGTCGTACACCTGTCTGAGTGTTAGTCAGGTAAGAGCGGTCTACTCTTACCTGTGCAGGTACAGCTCTGGTCCTGGCCCGTCTTCCTCTGGAGAAGATTGCGGAGTGTCTCAGTGATCTGTGTGCTGTTCAGGTGATGGCTCTGAAAAAGGTCAGTGTGTTTTCATACAACCTGTCTAAAACACAGGAGGTGTTAAAGGTAACGCTTGTTGTTTCAGCTTCTAACAGAACAATCTGCAAACGGTAAATCAGCTGACCCCACCGTGTGGCTCGACAGACTGGCTGTTATCTTCAGGTGAGGAAACCTAACTAACCCTAACCTGTTATCTTCAGGTGAGGAAACCTAACTAACCCTAACCAGCTGCAAACAGTCAACACATCCATGCTTGTTCTTTTCAGACACACAAACCCCATCGTAGAGAACGGACAGACACATCCCTGTCAGAAAGTCATCCAGGAGGTAGTTTCTGAAAACACCTGAGCCTTCTTATGTTACCTGTCTGAATATGAAAGAATTAAAGATGAGCCCACTCACCTGCAGATTTGGCCCGTGCTGTCAGAGACCCTGAATGCTCATCAGGCTGATAACCGCATCGTGGAGCGGTGCTGCCGCTGCCTCCGCTTTGCTGTGAGATGTGTTGGAAAAGGCTCCGCCTCTCTGCTGCAGCCTCTCGTCACTCAGGTAACACAGGCTGATTAAACCAGAACGATGCCATGTAAATGTTGGTTACCATGGAAACAACAAGGATGTGTTTGTGGTCACCAGATGGTGAATGTATACCAGGTGTATCCACACTCCTGCTTCTTGTACCTGGGCAGCATCCTGGTGGATGAATACGGCATGGAGGAGGGCTGCAGGCAAGGACTTCTGGACATGCTGCAGGTAAACATCCACCTGTTCACACTAGGGCGTGCTAAAACAGTTATTAATTTAGTTTAACTTTGGAAACATGGATTCCTWTGACCTAAGATTGGTTTTTCTCTGTGATGTTGGCCTCAGTAGGACTGAGACCCTAAAGGGACACAGGATGAAGGAAAAAAACAAAACTATCTCGTGCACATGAGTTACTATCTCGTGCACACTCGTTAGTAACTCATGTGCACGAGAGTTTTTTTTTTTCGTCCTGTGTCCCCCGCGTGTTGTGGACGGGGGAGGTGTTAAGTCTTTTTTTAATTATTCTTTTTCATGGATAATCTGATAAATAAATAAAATAAATATGTATATACTCTGTTATATTTTAATGCAAAGAAAACAATTTAATAAGTGTCTGAAGAACTGATTTCTGATCAGACACTGCAAAGATTAGCCATCCAAAAATAAGGTAAAATACTAGATTAGAACCTTATTCTTTTCAAATTAATAAGAATTAATAATCTGCGGTTTGACAGCTGCACTTGGTAAGACTTCTTGAAGTAAAAAAAACTTTTCAGATTAACAAGATTAATAATCCAACATATTCTGATCTTGTTTAGTATACAGCATGGGTCTAAAAACAAGATGAAAAATAAATTTTATCTGATATCAGACTGTAAAACCTGGTCAGAGGAACAGTTTTCTGCAGTAAAATGACTCTACTGCTCAGAAACATTAACAGATTAAGCTTCACTTTAAACCTGATCAGGACCAGGTTAGTTTCAGAGCACTTTTTACCACAGAAACATAAGCCACCAATCCATCCGATTCAAGGCTTAATTAATTCAAGTTTACACCTAAATCCTGGCTTAATCCCTTCTAGATTTGTGCAATAGGCTTCAGCACTACAGTGGGTATCTAGATATCTGAAAGATAGGAAACAAAGGTTTGTACAAATAAATGATGTAAGATCTGAACTCTGTAACATCACATGTGGAGTTCCTCAGGGTTCTGTACTTGGACCAAAGTTATCTATTTTATATATGAATGACTTGGTAAATGTGTCAGGGCTTTGTTTTATTTTCAGATGATACTACATTTATTTGTTTGGCTAAATATATGTAAAACGGATGTTGGGAATGATACAGACAGAATTTGTTAAAATGCAAACTTGGTTTAAACTTAATAAATTATCATTAAACTTGGATAAAAGTAATTATGATATTTACTGTAGAAAGAGAATTATTGATGTTCCATTTAAATTGATTATGTTGAGATCTGTGGAGTCAGTGAGGTGAAGTTTCTGGTGTCATCATTGATCAAAAGCTGACATGGAAATTTCACAAATTATTTAAGTACAAAAAGGGCTAAATTTATTGCAGTACTGTATCAAATAAATTACCGTATTTATTCAAGTATAATACATGAAATTTAATCCATAAAATCATGCACAAAGTTGGGGGGTAGCACTATACTCGGATAAATATTTTTGCGGTTGAAGCGATCTTACCTCTAACACTCCCTTGTGCCTCTGAGCGAGATAGTAACACAGGGATATTCAACTGGTGGCCCGTGGCCCACATCTGGCCCGCGAGTGACCAAAGTTCGGCCCGCCAATTGGTTCATTCATCTCTTAAGCCCAAACCCCCAGGTTTTCTACTTTAATTACTCGAAGTTGTTTTAGTTAAACATAGACATGATTGGCACAGAAACGTCAGAATCTTGGCTAGAAGCTGGTAAAAAAAACATTTCTATAAACATTCAAGTCAGTTACAACTACAACCAGTTGAAGATAAAATGATAAAAGTGAAAATAAAACTGGTTTAAAAATTTGTCAAGTCAGAGATGTCAAATATTTGTGTCAAATAGGAGGCATAATGTGTTCTTTTTGTTTTTGATAATGTTTAATTATCTACTTTTTTAGGGTTCTGTATGTTGTATTCATGATTAAATGTGGCAAAATAAACTAATTCAAAGGTAACAGATGTTTGTAATACTTAGTTTATTTACATAATAACTTTAATTGCTGGATGTTCGGCCCTTCAGCTGTTGACCTGCAGTAACTGTGGCCCCCCGGAGCAGTTATGTGAATAGTCCTGTAGTAACAGATCCAAGATGATCCAACATGATGTGCAAAGAAAAAAGACAGTCCTGCATAACGAACTAATAATATTAATGTGCRACCGGGCCGCTCCGGGAACAATAACAAACACATTGTCGTCTGTAATGGCTGCCGTCTACCAGTGTTCTGTAAAAGTTGGTCTACCTGTTTGTTAGATCACACCAGTTAACAAATGAGCATTGATAGCTTTTGTTGTAGTTATACATTTGTTGTTGTGCACCTTTCAGTACATTTGTTGTTAAAATAAAATAAAAAAACAGATACAACAGTCAAATGATAATTTGACTGTTATATAT